TTCATGTTATTCTTTTCACAATCTGCAGGGGGGCTGTTTGATCATCATCATCATTACTTTGGAGTTTTTATCTAAAAGGGATTTCAAAGAGGATGTGAAGCTTTCATGTCTGTCGTATCATGTCATCCACATCACATAAACAAACTGATTATGATCAGGGTTTCTGTCACTGAAAAATGCTGCCCGTCCAACAGTGCGACCTACTTTCACTGAGCTTATCATGTCTGCAGATGAAAGCACTAGTAATTTGCTATTACTAGACTGTTTTATGTGGATTTGCTATATTAGCCTGTACAAATGATTACGGTAATTTTGTTTATTAAGGGAGAAGAAATATTTAAGTAACTTTGCCACATATGGAAAAACAAATATGAAAAGAAATTGCTCCCTTGAGCAATTCAAATCGCCAGGATTATCAAGATCAAATAGAAAGATAATAGATCCTACCTGAATCGTAATGAGACATTGTTTATAGGGTGTCCTGGCCGAGGCTGTTGGCGATACAGTTTCATAAAACAAAAAAACCCCCACATAATTCTTGATTGAAACTGATATGGTTAAAATAAAACATGCCTGTACCTGATCTACTGTACTATGCCTCATAATGCTGTTATGTCGCTATGGTTGGGTTTTTGTCCTGTCTGCTGCCAAAATGCCTAACTGAGCCATACTGGTGGATTTTAGAGATTGAACAGCTAGACTGATGTGAAAGCATGATATTGGATTTTAGTTAAGACTCTAATTAGGGAATCTAAATGCCTTCAGTTTGCTTGCTGCAAAAGGTTACAGTCTGGTGTCCCAATATTCTCTGCAGAATGTATGGTTCCCTATTATAGAATGTGTTCCAGGTCCTGCATTTTAGTAAAATATGTACGTTTAGGTGTTCACACCCAAAATGTTCCACTTTTTTTTCTCTATTCCACAGAATATGAACAACATTTTGTGGATCCTTAAACTATTTTCTGAGCTTGGATCCTAGTTTCCTTCTTATTAGTGTCTTTTTTACTTCAAAGCAGAATTGCATTCATTTTGAACCAAGTATTAACTTAACTTGAGACAAATTAAATGATTTTTCCACTTCATGTGCAGCACTTGTCGCATATTAGTGCTCTTTAATGGCTGACCTCTGATGTAGGATTTATTCTTGAGGAGTGAATTTAGCCTTGTCTTTACTTGTAACTCCATAACTTCTCAATCTATGGGTTCAAAGTTGTCTCCTGTTATATTTCGAAACATGGATGAAGACTGTCGAACAAAGAAATGTTGCTGGTCTCCTCCAGCGGTGCTAAACCTGGGGGTTTCAAGTCTAGCGCCTCCAGTAGATAAAAGTTATAAAGATCTGCTTTAACTGAGAACAGCGAGGCCTTCAAAACTGCTTTGTTGTCGTCCAGGATATTCTTTCAGTGTGCTCATGTAATTATTTAAGTTGAACACCCCTATAAAGGTTCATCACAACTTTTAAACTGCCTGTAGCCCATGTAGATTTCTTATTAGGGCAGAACTGGATCAGTTTACATCTGTAGTGTTTGTAGGTCACCCTCAACACCTCCACTGATTCCCCACAATTTTGTTTTGCCAACGCAATTTACTGCTCTTTATTTGCATGCTTTAAATATCAGGCCCATTGTGTAATTTTCCACTTAAAACCAGAACCACTCAAAGAAATAGTAAGCTAAGTGTGGACACAGATGAACTCGAACAAAACAAACAACTTGACACTTCTCATGATATGCTCCCTTTAAAAAACATAATCTTTTATGTAATTAAAAAAAATACCTTTTGCATTTTTCAATTTGTTTATTAGTTGTTTTTTTTAACAAATATAGCATTTTTTCTAAAGCCTTCATTTGAGTTATTTAATGTATAGAATATTTAAAGATTACATTTGAAATTGCACCATCAGCATATATCGCTGTATTACTCTATGTTTTATACATCTAAATTAATTGACAGACACCATGTATGCAGCTTTAGATGTTACAGGTCAGAAGGGATGTGCAAATGTTTAGACTCCCAACATAAATGTGCTACACATTCAGAGATATAAACTTGAGGGAAAAACATGCATTTTTGTCTGCCATGCTTATTGTAGTGTAATTTAAACCCCTTTTTTTTTTTCCCAAAATGGGCAAATTCACTCTCTGCATTTGACCCATCCCCTTAGGGAGCAGTGGGCTGCCATTGTGTGGTGCCTGTCAAGCAATCAAGGGTTAAGGGTTTTGCTCAAGAACCCAGAGTGGAGGCTTTGGGGATCGAACTCGGTACTTGCAACCTTCTCAGAGCACTGCTCTAATAAACTAAGCCAACACTCCCCTAATTCCTACATTAGTTTTATTTATATTTTTCTATAAAAACAATCATTTGTGCTACCTCTTTAGATGTTTGCAAGACAGGTTTTCCCTGCAGACTCTGTTACTTTTCTTCCTCGTATTTTGCTGATGCCAGCTGGGAATTCCTTCTGTGTCTCCCTCTCATCCGTTTCCTGCAGTCATTCCATTTCACCATATATCAGATTCTGCTTGTAGTGCATATTTTCCATGATGCTGTCATAACAGATTGTGATGGGCTCGAGTTCTGCCCTACAAATGCTTTTGGCAGCGGCACGGTGCTGTGTCACTGGGCATTTGGATGATTCTTGAGTAGTGTTTATTATCTGCCTATGACACCCAGGAAAGACACTGAAAGAGCTCTCTCATTGGCTATTTCTATCCAGCTGCCCTCAAAGACCATATAAAGGTCACAACAAAAGGTGTTATTACAGATGTGTTATCACAGACTTAACAGTAGAGAAATATATAATTTTAATTTGAATATCTTTAAGTCATTCTCCTCCTCAGTTCATCCTGCTGGTTCCTTCTGAGCTAGATTGAAGGTTTTTCACCAAGGAACAAGTTTTATTTTAGGTGAACTGGAGTCATTTCTGTTTCTATTTGGCCATATGTCTTGAAACAGGCCCAAAGCATCATAGATCCTTCACTGTGGCAAACAGTACAAGATGCTCTTCCACATATTTATTTTGTTTTTCTCCACCAAACCGACCTAGTTTTTTGCAATCTAAAAGGTTCATCTTAGGCTACTCTCACTCTGTTTGCTATCTTCGCATTTTACCTAGCATGCTAATAAACATTTGTATGTTTGTTTTTTGTAAAGCAAACCTACTGTAGTTTGAATAGTGCATATATCAAGGGATAAGTGGTAAGGAACTCATAGTTACCTGCTATAATAGGATGAGGTGTAATATTTTGCTGTAACGTCAACATCATGGCTTTTTTTTATTGATTTTAAATCTTTAAAGGACATAAATGTCGGATATTTGCTCCAGATTTCACCAAAAATAATTCTCAATAGTCACCCAGAATGGAGGTAATATTCCCTTTGTGATGTAAAATATTAATCTATGTTAACTTTTCCCTGTTTTGGTTAATATTTTTTGCTTTATCCACAGTTTGACTTAAACTGGGGGCAGGAATACCGTCCTTTTTTAGCATTTTCTATAACCTTTCTATACTGATGGTCTCTAAAGAGTTGGAGTCTGAGAGGATTTGTGGTCTAGCTCTGCATCAAGGTCAGCTAAGAAGGATGCTTGACTGAGAACAGGATCAAGCTGGAATAAGATGGAGCTTTGCTGCTTCTGGAATGCATCTCCATTTTCTCTTTTTTCTTCTTCTGAGATGTACAAATGTGTATGCATAACCTCATTCAGGGCGTTTGTCTTTTTCAAGTGTAAGAGCCTTAAAACGCTTAATTCCTTTGAATAAATTTGCCAAGAAAAAGATCAATCTTTCTCTGTTTTACAAAGTGCTGATCTCCACCCCTTTGATAAATACAAAAACCCACAACACATTTAAGCGGTTTGCCCTCTCCATCAACATCTGAGTTGAGTTTTATGGGGAAGGAGGCACAATCAACAGACAAAGAAAACTCTCTCATGTTTTATATTTCTTTATTACATGTAACTTTTATCCTTTTTTTTTTTACTTTTCATTATAGCACTTAGAGATAGACTAATTTTAGTAGTATTACTATTTTTCTTTTTTAAATAATTACATTATTACCTCCAACTATGTGACTTAGAACCCTATCTTTCACGTACAGCCTGCCTGTAGAAGATGCAGTGTGCTCATATTTATGGGGAGAATCACACTGGTTTTCACATCCACATTTGCACGACAATTGCACAACAACTTTTGTGGATCACTGGCAACACACGATCTTATGAAACATACAAAAAATAAAGAAATGCACATGCAAACAATTTATACAATTGCAATTTAGCTCCCTTTATTTGGATTTTTTAAGATCATGCCCTATGCATTATTATTAGTTATGCTTTTTTAAAGCCACTGTGTAATTTTCAGCGACATCTAGTTGTCAGACTACAGACTGTAGCGAGGTGAATCGTCGCAATATGGGATAAATTCTTTTTTAAGACCTTTAAAATATTTTTAAAGGTGGTCAAAACAAACGTCAGGGGTCCTGCGTGTTTAACCCAGAACTTTAGCATCAAATGAGATTTGTTTGCAGCTCAATCCTCCCGCTCTCTGACATTTCTCCCTGTTAAATGTCAAGTTACCATGCAGTCCTGATTAGCATGATAAATACTGTCTAACTGAGACGTTTTTAGTTGCTTATTCATCCCTATCATAAGAAGCATTACAGTTGTAACAAAAAGAGACAGTCATAGGAATTTTCTACTAAAGCATTTGCTTAACCAGGATTTAGCATTTTACAAAGTAAAGAGGGATATCAAACTAAATAACCAGAATGTGCAAGACAGAAAATGTGTTTTCTTTTGCTGAATAATTTTGAAGCTCACACTTTTCTGTTTAGAGAAATAGCAATGCCATGAACTGATAGTTGCTGCTTTGTTTAGTGCAATGTTCTGCTTCCTATTGCTCTAAGTATTATGATGTAATAATGCTCATTTTAATATTGTGAGATAAAGGAATTTCTGCAGCTGATTTCATGCCCTGTTTGTCTCTCCTTTGTTTACTTGTTAGGTCAACAGCTGGCGGTGTTTCGGGGCCATGATGGGATAGCCTATGTGCTTGACGCATACTGCCCCCACCTGGGTGCCAATCTGGCTGTGGGGGGACGTGTGCTGGGAAACTGCATCGAATGCCCTTTTCATGGCTGGCAGTACCGGGGAACTGATGGCAAATGTGAGAAGATTCCTTATGCAGAGAAAGGTACGAGCACTAGATTATCTTAAATAAAGGTAAAGGAAACAAAAACCAGACCATAAAAGATAGGGTTGAAGAACAGTCTAGAAAAAGACTGGGAGTTGATAATTTTAGACTTGAATCTATTTTCCATGTTCAGAATGATCTAGTGTTTGCTTCTCTATCTCCTTCCTCCTGTATCTCTCACGTCCTTATTTATGCTAGTGTTGATTCTTGTTTCTTTCTTTCTTTCTTTCTTTCTTACTTTCTTTCTTTCTTTCTTTCCTTCCTTCCTTCCTTCCTTCCTTCCTTCCTTCCTTCCTTCCTTCCTTCCATGGAGCTGTTCAACCTTCCTTATTTACCTTGTCCTTTCTTAGCTTATAACATATAATTTTTTCTAATTTGATAATATTTATTATTGCATTTATGAGTTCCTGCACTCCTGGTTTTCTTCTTCTAAACCTGAGTTGATATAGTTTGTTTTGTATTGGTTCATGTTGTTGAAAAAATACATTTATAACCAATCTGCCTTTCATTGTGTCCTTTTTTCTTTTTCTTTATCTAACGCCTCGTTTTGTTGCATCATTCCTTCCTTGGATCCTCCTTCCTTTCTGTTGTTTGGTCTTTCTTTAGTCTGGGAAATTTTAAAACTGTCTTTTTAATTCGTATTCGTATTATAAAAAGAAATAAATGTGGCTCTCAGTTCCAGAGTTTGCCCAAGTGCGCCGCTGGCCCAGCTGTGAGGTAAACCGACAGGTCCTGATTTGGTTTCACTGCGATGGATTAGAACCACAGTGGAGCATTCCGGAACAGGAGGAGATCACTAATGGCCAGTGGGTCTACAGAGGGAGAACTGAGCACTTTATAAATGCTCATATTCAGGCAGGTTTACAACTCTGCACAAAACTTTTGACTCATTAATTAATTCTATTTTAACTTACAGGCAGTTAGACTTTCTTGTCATTTTTTCTTATTGTTCCTGATCAGAATTTTTCCAGGATTTCTAAAGGACTTTCAATGATCACCTTTACATATTGTTTGCTCTCATAGATTATTCCTCAGGTCTTGATATTTCCCTTTTCTGCTCTACTTTTCTCATTACCCATTGCACGAAATGCTAACGCACACTATCTGCTGACGCATGGAGCCCGTGTAATACAAATATCATCTGCATCCATCTGGGTCTTTTTAGGCCAATTGAGGGCAAAGCAAACATTTCTGGCTGTAAAACTGTTTGCTCTGATTACACTGTCTCCCCTTTGGTTAAAAAATGACAAGTTAAGAGAGAAAGAAAAGAAATATAGCAGAATTTATTTTATCGACCCCTCTACAGGGATTCAATTAAACTGTAATTAGGGATGTGAGGATCATCTTTCTTAAGACTGAGGCAAATCTGTAGTCATTTGTGTAAACCAAATGGAAATTAAGCAATTTTGTAATTTATCTTTTCAGTACTCGGTTTGGGCTCCACGCAGCCGGACAGAAAGACAGGGTTAAATAGACACACACACACAGACAGACTGAATGTCAAACAGACCATCAACCTATTCTGACTGGTCTGATGCTCTAATTTATGTACTCACTACATACCTGATTCTGTGTTTATCATCTTTTTCTGCTAACAGTGTTGCTTTTTATATATCTTTTAAAAGTAATTAAGGTTTGTCTTCCTACAGTCTTTATTCTTATTCGTTTCTGATGATTATAATTAATAATAATAATTATATTTTATCTTTTTTTTTTCCGAGAGCATTGTATATCTATGCAAAGTCTTTAATCTGTCTTTATATTATGTGTTCATTGTAAGCCAGAGGTCTTTGTGAAATCTGAATGTGGTTTCGTCATATTATTAATTATTCTAGATTCTTTTAATTCAGTTTATTTTCTTAAGCCTAGGGCTGCAACTAATGATTATTTTGCTAATCGATTAATCTGTTTCTTGTTCTTTTGATTAATAGTCGGATAGTAAAAGATTTCTTAAAGAAGACTTTTTGCAAAATTAAACCAGGTGAATCTCAAACTTTTCCACTTGGGGAGTACTAGATAGAGCTTATTGACAGACAAAAAAATCTTTATGCGAAATGTTTACATTTTTTTTACACTCTTGGTATAATCGCTGCTCAAGGTGAGGTGCTCTGTCAGCTAAAGGCGTGTTTTAGAGTCTCTACACTCCAGTTGAAAATTAATCAATTACTAAACTGGTTGGCTGTTATTTCAATAATCGATAAATCATGATAAATCTGATTAGTTATTCCCAAAAAAAGTAAAAAAAAAAACAATCCACTGGACTTTGTTTCCAAGTTTGTAGACTTTTGAGAATCTTCACCAGCAATTAATCCAATCAGTGCTTCAGCCCTACGCAAGTGAATAAACTCAAAGAACAAAGATAATCTCCTTCAACTAAAAACCTTTTACAAAAACAGTTATACATAGACAAAAAGATCAAACATGACAAATATATTAGTGTAATTATTAGAACTATTTGGGTATAAAACTAGATTTGTAGATAAATACAGAGACAAACAAAAGGCCATTTTGAAGCCAGAAATTGCACAATGACTCCCTGAGCCTGTGTCTCTGCTGAGGGCAGTACTCCACACAATGGTAGCGTGAACAGAGGTGCTGGTACCTTTAAATGTGTGGGACGGTACCGAATCCTGCTGGAAAATGAAATCAGTATCTCCATAAAACTTGTCAGCATGAAGCATAAAGAGAGAGATTAAAGGGATTATCTTTCTTATCTAAAGGAAATTTTTCTTTGCCTTAATCACTGGCTGCTCCTTAATATGACATCATTTAAGTCATATAACAATCACATTGAGACGCTTTAAAATTTCCTGGTCATATTCTAGGTTGACTTTTATGATGTTAATACATTAGGAAACAAGGACATTCAGTATTGTTTAAGATGACAGTAACAGGGTGTGGTTAACCAACATTTTTTCACTCCTCTATACTTTTCATCTGAGCAATGTCCTCTTATCTGTAATTGAAATATTTTAATCTCAGTCCTTGTTGTTTCTTTTGGTTGCTGGAAGTCCAAATTTTCCCCATAAAAATAATTATGGAGTGTTGAGGTTGAATGCAAAGCACATGACATTTTAGAGCCTAACAAATATCACTTCTGAGCTGTAGCCAAGTTTATATAGAATTCCATGAAGCAATGATAATAGGGTTATATCTAGTTCTGTTTAGATTAGATCTAGTTGGATAGAGCCTCTTAAGCAAGAAGCTAATTGTTCTGCTGGTCATTGACCGTCTTCTAGGTAAATTTTGAGTCAGCAGTCTTCCATTTGTCTTTACAGACCAGAAGATTTTTGTATTTAAAGTCTTTTTATTAATTTAATGTTCTGTAAAATTGAATTCTATGTTTTTTTTAGATGTAAACCAAGTTCATATACACACTGCAAAAACGATCTAGAAATAACTTAAAATTTCCTAAATTAAGTGTATTCACCCTTAAAGGAATAGTACACCCAAAACATGATTAGCCTTCATTTTCTACTCACCCCCATGCTGAACAACACTCTGGAGTACTTTTTTGATATCTCAAATGCATCTGGAGATCTGGGAGGCTTCTTGCTGTCTGCTGACATTCAAATAATGGAGGTCTATGGTGCCCGAGACAGAAAGGTCCATAAAAGTCCACAAAAAACGTGTCAATATTCCTCCATACTGCTCGTCCAATGTATTCCAGACCAAACCAGATAAAAGTGCGCATTCAGCGTCTGCTCTGCCGATAATGCAAGCGTAGAAGAAGAAATGTGCTGTTTACCTGTGCAAAGAAAGAAACAACGAAATAAAAATGTCTGAGGACTTCAGTGTTGAGGAAGAGCATGAGTTCTTTGCCGAGCTGAATGCGCACTTTCATCTGGTTTGGTCTGCCGCGGTTTCCGTAGACTCTTGAACGCGCTTTAAGGAAATCCTATACACTACTGTTTATGCTCTAAAAACATTCTAAATGACTTTGTTTCGAGTAAATTATGGACGCTACCCACTCAGGACACTTGGAATACATTGGACGAGCAGTATGGAGGAATATTGACACGTTTTTTGTGGACTTTTATGGACCTTTCTGTCTCGGGCACCATAGACTTCCATTATTTGAATGTCAGCAGACAGCAAGAAGCCTCCCAGATCTCCAGATGCATTTAAGATATCAAAAAAGTACTCCAGAGTGTTGTTCAGCATGGGGGTGAGTAGAAAATGAAGGCTAATCATGTTTTGGGTGTACTATTCCTTTAATTTGAGTAGGTAAATGAGATAGTTTGCCAATGGAATGAGTCATTTTATTCTTAAAATAAGGTAATTAGATAATATGCACTTGAAATAAGACAATGCAATTGTGTTTTCTTATTTTAAGTGTAAATTTTCTTGTTCCATTGGCAAAATGTCTCTTTTACCTCCATAATCCAAGAACAAATGCACTTATTTGAAGAAAAAATTACTTATCTAGATTTCGATTTTTTGCAGTGCAATATATTACATATTGAACGTCTCTCTCTATGTTGCACATACATTTCTGTTTGAATTGAATTATTTAAATGAAATATTTTTTACATTTATACGTAACTTTCACTAAATACAAAATAAAGAATACAAACCATAAAAAAGTAGGAGTTTTTGAGTAGGAGGTTTTAATGTATTTATTAAACTGGGAAAATCTCTCCATTAAGGGGGAACCAGTCGAATGACCAGATGGAGATTGGTTGGATAAATTTAAGTTGGAAAGCTTCAGGAAGCTTTTCTGGAGAAATACGTGAAATACTTGTTGCTAAATTTTCCTGTTTCTTCAGGAAATCCCTGAAAATGGAGCAGACATCCCCCACCTGGATCACCTGCATACTCCGGGCATCCCAAGCGGAGTAGATCTGCGCTACACCAACAGCAAAACCTGGGAGTTTGTTCGACATGACTGGAAGGTTGGGCAGGGGGCGCCTTTCTGTGTTTCAAACATTTCATCTGTGATTCTTTTAAAAAAAACTTATTTTTTTCTGTTTGGATCATAGGGATAATCTTCTCTCATGCTCTGATTATTCTAAAACAGCTGAGTTACACATTTGCTATCTCAGTATAAATATGGCTCCAGGGATCCAGTCACTGTTATCTCTTTGTGTACTTTGTGCCCATATACCTGTTTGTTTACTTTTTCTGCCTCGTCAATTTTTCGGCCTAGATTTAAGTATCTTTACAGCACCTTGATTGATATCATTTTGAAACATTCCACTTCTTTAAATGGACTTTGTAATGCCTGATTTCATTTGAACTTGTGTCTAATAATCTTTTTTTCTGTTTCCTTTAAGGTTGAATGGGAACCGGAACCAGAGCCTAACAGTCACTGCTCTCAGATGCGGGTGAATCATTCACTCACCTTATTTGGATGCCGCTTGCCTCTGCTGGATCTGCGTGTTGTGGCCAGACAGGTACATTATATTTTTGTTACAGGCAGGTACAAACCCAGACTGAAATATTCCAGGCCATTGAGAGACAGATTTTCACTCTATTTGGCAAAATTGAGATTTTACTTGTATGCATAAAATGTGTCCTGTCTTTGGTAAGTAAAACAAAAATTGAGCTGTTTGGTGTCATGACCCAAACAATACCGTCCAACAATGGAAGCTTTAAAGGTTTGAGGCCTTAAATACAAGAGGATGGGTGGGCGTCAACTTCTAGCGAGATAGGTGCAAAGCAGGTGCACAGCTAAAGGAAATAGTAAGAAATGTTTCTCTGCATCGGTCGTAGGAAGGAAAGTCCAACTCCAGTCCTTAAGGGCAGGTGTCCACCACCTTTGATCCCTACTATTTGTGCCTCAGAATGGCACATTTGGTAAGCGTTCAAACAGGCCTCCAGAGGGTGCTGTTTCAAGCCAGACAGTCCATCCATCCTTCATACCTGTTTATCCCTGTACAATGCCCATAAACCATTGGTGCACCCTGGACTGGTGGCCAGTCCTTCACAGGCAACACAGAGACAAACCCAAACTCAATTTAGAGAAATCTGCCGTTCCCAAACTTTTTGTGTTGGACACACTTTGAAGATTGATTTAAATAAATTATTTGTACCACAATCAGACAAATCCTCTCTACACTTCAAAAAAGAAAATTCAACTGAGGTAAACCATATTGCAAACACAATATCCTTTAAATCACAAAATGTTATTATTGTAATTGTAACTGTTTAATTATTTTATATATATATATATATATACAGTGTTGTACCTGAACGCGTTCATTGAACGAAAGTTCATGAACTCGTTCATATTTTGGGCGAACGTGAACTGAACGTACTGCATTACTGCCTGATGAACGTTATTATGAACTCGTTCATTCTGGTGTCTGTGAACGGCACGCTCTCTCAGTTCA